CCCCAAAACCCCAAAACCCCAAAACCCCAAAACCCCTGGAACGAAAGGAGTTATTGAATATTATATTTTAGAAGATGGAGGCTTGTAAGAAAAATAAAGGATTTTTAGTCCCTGTTGAAGATTATAGGTAAGGAAGTTATTATTTGCTTGCAAATTTAAATTCGCTAAAACAATAATCTACATAAAACATGATTTCTTTTAACTCTGCTATTCTAGGGACAAAGCCCTGTCAAACATACAACAACTCAATGAATCTCCAACGTCACCATTCAAAGTGTACATAAAATCGAAAGACTCTGAGGCCTCTCAATTACGTCGAAACAACTCTCAAAATGACAAGAAATTGTCTTAATCACTTTTAGCGAGAAAGCAATGAAGTCTCGAGGCAAAAAGCCAAAATAAAAATTTAATAAAGAGTAATTATCAGCTTATTCTTAGAGGTAGCTAATTCTTTCACTATACATAGAATCTTCAACTAATCTCTGGCAGAAAAGAAGAGGTCTGAATAGCCAACAGACCTGATCCAGGTCTTTAGGAAATACCAAGACTAATTATTGGTCTTCAAAGATTAGCAATCTTAACGAGGAGTCTCATAGAAGATACCCAGGAGATGGCATCCCCATGGTGCGCTCACTCCTTCCTAAGAAGGATAGCTCCATCAATGCTAAACCTCCGCAGGAGGTTAGTCTGGTAAATTACCTTATTGAGAAGTCTAAGCAGGAAGCGATGGTTCGGAAGAAGCACAAGCGAGTTCACAGTGGTATGTCTCCAGAAATCCTGTTTTCAAAGATTGAACCTGAGCCAGAACATATTCCTCATAAAGCGATGCACAAAAATAGATCATTTACCAAGAAGAACAAGGACCTTGAACCACATAAGGAGAGTCATGAACTCTCTCTGAATTCTAGAAACAAGATCTTCTTGGGAACCCAGTACGATCAGATTTTTAAGAAGTACAAATCGAAGAAGGCTAAATCATTCACGAAGAAGAAGAGCCTGATAAATCATTATAAGCTGAATAAGAAAGACAAAAAGGTGGTCGATACAAGGTAAATTTGAGCCTAATTTGGCTCACTAAAATACTTTTTGTAGCCAGTGCCTTTCACACTAATTCTAGGTTCCCAGAGAATGATTATTGTCACGACAATAATAGCCTGATGCATTTGTGGATCAAGAATACTTCTAAGACGACTAAGAAGAAGCGAAAATAGCAGGCCGAAAGACAAACCCAATTTTGGTTCACCACAAGATGGGGTCAGTATGGTACCTGCCATGCATAGCTCTTTCTTCAGGTCTAAAGTGCAGAAAAAGACAAAGATATCGCTAAAATAGCATTAATGGAGTCATTTCCCAAAGGAGGTTGATTTTTAACAAATCTAAAAGGCAGAGTTCATCTAAGAAAAGCCTTCAGTAATTAGTTGCTTAATCTTCTAGAGTTCCACAGCAGCAGATGAGCTTAAATATCTCTGAAGCTAAAGAGAATTTACCCAAATTTCAGCTGGAAGGAAACAAGAAATCATCTAACCATGATATCTTGGAGAGTTCATGCAGTAGTATGGAGTTGTTTACCGTCAATGATAGCACTGTGAACATGGAAGCAGCTACACAGAGGATCAACAATGACCCTTCTCCTGGCAGGAGAAAGATCTTTAGCCGTCATGAGACACAAAGTTATGAGAAATCCTATTTTTAGGTGCATTTTTATGATATTCCTGACTCAAAGGAGTAAATAAGAATAGGGGTTTTGGGGTTTTGGGGTTTTGGGGTTTTGGGG